CAAACAGAACCATTAAAGAAGGCCTTGCAAAAGTCTGCGCAGACAAGAACCTTAACTGGGTTGAAACTCTACCGATTGTATTGTTCAACCTCAGGTCTACTCCAACTAAATCACTAAATGTGGCCCCACATGAAATACAGACAGGGAGAAAAATGCCCTGTCCTCTAACTGTTATGCCTATAGATTCAACACCTCTTCTTTTGCAGCATGCTGACATAAGTGAATATGTCAGGCAGGTGGTCGAAATCCTGCGCAGAGACCAAGCTGAGGAGCTGACCTCAGTTGCAGTGGACAGCTGGGTCTACCGTAAGGTGCACAAACTTCACTGGTCCGGACCACGGTGGTAAGGACCTTTCAAGGTAGCAAAAGGCACCACACACTGTGTTAAACTGTGGCTCACTGATAACAAGTTAAGTAACTGGATCCACAAAACACACTGCACACCAGCAGAGGATCCCACTGTACGCACAGTAAGCCAGATCAGGGCTGATTTGGCATCTAAATTGCTTGAGCCACAGTCAAAGGAGGGCTAAATTTAGTGTCACAGTTTTTAGGGAACAGATAGTGCTAGGGACAGCAAACAAGATGCCCATCTCAAATTTTTTAAATGGTCGCCCTGGATGAATTTGCATCAGCGCACAATTTGGGAAAATTTCTACAGAAGCTGGCAGAGGACAAGAAACGCTACACTGAATATTTTTCTTGAAAATAACAGTGGGAAGTGAAGGTGTACTCAAACTAGAGAGAAAGACTGTGTAAGGAAAAAAAAGTAAAAAAAAAACAAAGTGTTTCTTGAGGAGCTAGGAAGTTCCCTTGTCAAGGCACACATTGAGCAAAGGGAATGGGTGCCCTGAGACTGCTCACCTAGCACTCTGGCCACACCATCAGCAACACAAAGAGCATCAGCGCCAGCATCCTTCTCAGTCAGCCCTGCCTCAACATCCAACCAGTACAGCCACAGCCCCACTAAGACTGCCTGACTCTCAAAGAAAGAGGTGTCAGGTCTGCCCAAGCAATAAGGACAGAAAGACAAACATACTGTGCTTCTATTTTAAAAAAGATCTCTGCAAAGAACACACAAAGTGTCACTTTTTGCCACACACACACGTTCTTGCAGCACAAAGACTTTTTTTGGATCTAGTACTTGATTTCTATTGGTGCGATTTGCTTGATTGGTTGTACATTTGACCTTACACATCTACATGGTGTATTATTGCTTGTTCTGCTTTTAATTTTATATTAAAGTTCTACTTCTAGAAAAAAAAAAGCCTTTTTCTTGAAGTGCATATATAGGTTAAAATTGACCCGTAACACCATGGATGTTACTAGAGTTAATATTAAAATAAATCATTTATTTAAGAGAAGTGTTCTAATACAGTACAGTCTGCACAATGAATAGTTACAACCAGCAGTCAGGCAAACGTGTACTCCTCAAATGTTGAACTACTCCTTTAAGTTTAATTCAACACAGCAAAGGCTAATCCGAGGGGAATCCCCGGTGTTATAACAACTGGGGCTCCCCTCGGCACAGTCACTTTTCCAGTACGCCAGGACAGACTGGACAGAGAGTGGGACTGTTAACGTGGGTTTTGTGCCGCACGGGGTCTAGACGAAGACGTCCGAACCACCTCTGGCGCTTTCTCACATGTAGACCGAGAGGGACCGCTACATTGTGCCCAATAAGCGAATCGCAGACAGAGCCGTCTGTGGACGTCCGATCGCACAGCAACCAGGAAGACGCTATTCACCGGAGGACCCTGAGATCTGCAGCCACGACAAGGTGAGTGCGTCCGCGCGTACCTGTGGGTTAACGGGGCAGAAGAGTCTGAGAGCATGGGAAAGCAGAGAAACATCGGTGTAGCCAGAGAGGCGAACGAGTAGGCATCTGACTGGAAGAGAGCGTATATATGGGAGACAGAGCTGGGCGATAATGAGCAGCAGGTGCATGTAATGATGGCTGATTAGCTCCCTGGGTACGTGGTAGGCAGAGGAGAAACAGGGGGAAAGCAACAGAAAAACAGGAAGCATAAGTATGAACCAGGACAATTATAAGACTGTAAAGCAGTTACCTTGCTGCATTAATGCCACGAAATGTTTCTATGCAAATCTGATAGTAAACTGATTTCCACAAAGATCTGGGAATAACTTCATCATCATTTAGAGTCTGAGTGAGACATGATTTGAGCTCAGTTTCAATGTATGAAAGTCTGGGTTAGTAAAAGAACACAGAGAGCAACAGAAACTAATCAAGCGACAAAAACATGATGCACATATTCACATTAGGTATTTAATTATTTATTGTGATTGTGTAGTTATCACAGTATTTGTTCATTTGCCCCTCATAATAATGTAAACTCTCTTTTCTCCTTCATCCTCCCAAACTTCTAACACACCACCATACATTTGTTCCCTCTTGAAAAGCATCTATAGTTGTGTGATCAGCAAATAACACATTACTACATTTTAGTCTTTGTGCTTTCCACTGAGCTTCATTCATGGGTGTGCGCACCCTAATTGTGCAACCCCCTGTTTTCATTTTACACCATGTTCAAAATTCTGTCTTTTCCCATCATTGCACACATGCAGTAAACACATTCTGAACATGCTAATCATCATTCTGGTGATCATTGTGCTTGCAGAGGGTTGCCAAAGACATAAACAAGCAAGACAAGAACCTTGGAAATAAAAAGGAGAAAGGAATAGGCAGAGAAATTCAAGAAGATGTTAAGAAATGCATTTCAGGTTTCAGATAAGCCAGTTGCTCTAAAGGCAAGTCAAAACAGTTGGTTTGATACTGTCTAACCCACTGCAAGTTTGATGCAATTACCCTGGAAGTGTCTGTAGCACTCTAGCGGAGGCATTAAATATTAATTTCTCAACTTAGGATCCACTGGTTCAGAGATAAAAGTGGAAACCATAGGGCAGTTAATGGCATACTTATCACGCTAACTCTGATATGCCTGATGTTTATGTTGCTACTTAACGTTTTCTACTGTATACTTAGCATCATATCATAGTCACCAAATCATAGTTTTTCATCAGCATTAGGTTGAAACATCTGCTTTAGCTCTACAGTATTTTGCCTGGTGTGGTTCTGTGTATTTTTGCGTGGCCTGTTTCTGCTTAATTCATGTTGCAGACTGCTCTTTATATTTACCTGATATTCACACAGTGTAAGGCATGAGAGCATGACAGGTTGTACGAACTGCCTGAGAGCACACAAGTGACTTCTTGATGCAACTATGGATAATAATAACAGCATATAGTTTGATGGAAGAGTGGTTTAGCTTTGTTGCTTGATGTGAATGAGTGGGCTAAAGAAATATTAGCAGTTATTCCTGAGTATGTTCACAGTAACAAGTCTGTGCAGATTCTCAGTCATCCAGGTCATAGTAAACTGAAAAAGATTTGAAAAAATCAACTGGACGTAGATTTCTAGGTCGAAGACATTTCACCTCTCATCCAAGAGGCTTTATCAGTTCTGCCTGACTAGTGTTGAGCCGGAGATATTTATCCCCCTCGGTGGTGTTTCAGTCCTTTGATGGCCAACAATGTCCTTTAACGATCCATCCATCCATCCATTTTCCTCCGCTTATCCGGGACCAGGTCGCGGGGGCAGCAGTCTAAGCAAAGATGCCCAGACTTCCCTCTCTCCAG